GTTTGTCAGCCCCTTCAAACTGAAAAAGGATTCTAGCTTAAAAAGAGATCTGGCTTTTACTTGCAGAGAAAAAAAAACCTCTTTTTGTTATGGACATTATATAATGCCCTTTACGGAAATGTTTTTCACGCCAATTCAACAAGAACACCAAATGTGGCAAAAAAAAATATCGAAAGACTATTTCCTATTGAGCTGAGTGAGTTTTTTATCCTGATGAGATAAATGTGTCCCAGTATTATAAGTAATTTGAAATCTGATGGCTTGCTAGCTACTTTTTCAGGGTTTTCATTGGTTGAAAATCAACAGCCTCTCTTTTCCGTTTACCACAGAACAAACTTTCAGCAATTTATTTCCTGAACATTTTAGGGTATATCCTCTTTCCAAATACGCATGATTGGGCTAGGAAAAATATCTTTGAAATTTTGACATTTTAGATGTTCTAAAAGGGAATTGCCCTTATACATAACAGAAAGATAAAAGATCTATAGAATGATGTGTACCTTGCTTTCTGCAGGAAATCAGCTTCAACTGTAATAGTTGACAGATACGATCCTTCCTCAAATCTATATGGAACAACTGAAAACAAATTATCTTAATTAGACAAAGAGTAATTTTCATCATTGAAGTTTGACTGATTAATTAATGCACCAAATACTATATTGTCCCCAAGACACATCTTAAACTGTTAGTCTCCATTGCAGGCATTTTGGGGTTGTCAAGCAAAATGGCTGCAAAGGAAACTATGCATACCGTCTATATGTTTTGCTCCAAATAATATTAGAACTGTTCATGCATAATTGTACATGTGGGTGAAAAATGGAAGATCACTTCCCTGAGCTGTCAGGAGAAGAGAAACCTTGGTGATTGATGCATAAAAGAATATCATTAATGAACTTGGTTATTGCAAAATGATCTGTCAATGTCTTGCAGATCAATTATTTGCCTCAACCTTCATTTCCAGCATAAATAATTGATCTGCTCACCACTGACAAATCAAGATATACTGTAATTTTGCTCAACCTGTTATTTATTATAACTACAAACTCTAGATGAACTTAGAAACAAAACTACTTTCTATAGCCCCATAAATGTACAAGTAAAACATAAGTTATTCTTTACTTCTTACCATCTATCATACTGTTTAGTGCCACACTAGTCCACTTCCTCTGCAACAGAAAAATTATCTTTATTAAGTAAACAATGTACATCACAGCATTCATTAGAGGGTACATTCTACTTAAGAGGATACTAGATGCATCAAAGGTTACTTTGAAGCATTCATACACTGTACTCTTGGCTGGATTGAAGCACTGAGAGGACATCTTACATGTACTTAGAACACATACAAAAAGACAATGGCTTTAAGCCATAAATCATAGGTTCTATGGTACAATGCGTGGGGGCGTGGTGGTCTCATGGATAGCACACCTGCCTCTTGATCAAGTGGTCCAGGTTCAAGCCCCAGCTGGCACCACATGTTGTGTTCTTGGGTAAGAGGCTTTACTCTCACATGTGCCTCTCTCCACCCAGGTGTATAAATGGTTACTAGTGAAGTTAGTGTTGGGAGTAACCCTGCGATGGACTAGCATCCTCTCCAGGGGGGATTAAAAATACTCCTAGTCACTTCATGCTACAGAAACCAAAGACAAGCCGCAGCCTGATGGGCCATTTGGCTCATACTGTATGCAGACTTTTCTTATAGTCCAAGGCATGGAAGTCCATTGCACCAGTGAGCATACATATAAGGTATGTCTGGGTACATGTATACTTTGACAGTGCAGGTTACATCAAAGACACCGGTTTCATTAAGGGCCAGGCACTGCAAAATGATCCTCTGAAGTCAATAAAAATCGCAAAATTTGTCAAAATGTACTGACAGAAAAGATCTCCCAATAATACATATTATAATCCAACAAGCATTTTAGCTTGCACTCAATTGGTCTAAATGCATCAAATGACTAAATATGCCCCAGCTAAAACTGGGGAATATCAGAACAATATTCCCAATTTTGAAAAGATCCCAAGTGTTGTGTTAAATATTTGAGGGATAATAAACACAATATTTGGCATGAAAATATGCTCCCAAAGATATTTTTCCTTTCAAAGAATATTAAATTATCATTCTGTTCCTCAAAGCTAACAGTTTTCCTTGAGCTTCACTCTCAGAAAAGTGTTTGCTTCTCTGGACAGATAATGTCCACAGACAAATATCCAAGCGGATTTTCACACTATTGTTTATAAATATCCCACATTTTCTTTACATACAGTCACAATCCTAAGGGCCAGGTCCTTTATAATGGGAGTTGACGGCAAATGGAAGTACATGTAAACATTGTACTTAATTACCTGGACGAGGCTGAATCCCACAGAACCTGGTGGAACATCTTCACATACTTTGATAGTAAAGACATAACCTTGTGGTGCACTGGTCCGAACCTCAACATGTCTGAAAAAAAGGGGTTAATGAGATTCAAAAATAGTTTTTATCTTCACCTTAAAAAGTAAAAAAGCTTTTTCCCATTCTTTTTGCAAAATATTTATCTCAGTCTTCTCAATTTGAAGAGAAATAAAAATTCCGCATTTTTCGTAAAAATTCACCTACCATGCATGACACCTTAAATTAAATTAATTTACAACCATCAGCTCATAGAAATCTCGAGCTCATAATCTAATTGTTAAGTGGAACGAAGTACAGTAACTATATTGTGGAATGATTTGACTATAGACCAGAAACCGCTCAATTCTTGGCGCTAACCGGAGTGATACGGCTAAATTGCTACCAGTTCTACACGTGTATATGATGTAATTCGAGTTAGGCGAAGAAATAGTCACAATTCCAAAGCAATACGTTACCCTACAATCTTGGTATAAAATTTCTCGTTGATTTCAAACATTTTTAATAGCTGACATAAGCATTACTTTCTCAAAGCTAAGACACGTCTTCACTCAGTGAATAAACAAAACGAAAGGTCACTTACTTGACTCGCTCCGGGTTGAAGTCATTTTCATTCACCACAAGACAATTTGTTAAAGACAATCTGTCTGACGGACACTTGATCACTTTCATTTGAACCATCTTGGCGTTGCTTGTTACGAAAGGAAGACTTTCACTACAAGGGGGCCATTTTATCCATTTATTTGGGTAGTGCTTGGTGTAAGACCACACTATTATGTCCCGGGATACACTCTACCCGTTAAGGCGGGAAGATTAGAGACCCTGGGAACGAGGTTATTCTGGGCGGAAATTCGGTGGCCGCTGACCGAAAATGATAAATCAAGAGGTTCTTTTGGCCTACTTCGGGTCACTATGATTTAGAGAGTGGAAAAATCCACTGACGCTGGATAAAGTAAACAGAAGCGCATTTTCAGATCCGTTTTTTTTTCTATTTTTTTTCTTTCTTTTTAAGAATACAATTCGATCTGACTCGATGTGGCCCGATCTGACCCTTATTGACAATTAATTCTTGTGATTTATACCTTTTTGCTTATTGCCGGTTTTCACATGACGTCACTAAAATTCAAACTGCAAAAACTATTGATCTTCCTGAGATTTTACTTTAATGATTTATAAGAGCAGCTGAAAACTAATATTCACAGAAATTTTTGCT